GTATAGATGCTCCTTAAAGTCTCTAATAGTCTCAGGAGGATTTTTTTGAAAGGTGAAGGCATCATAGACAGGTAATTGAGCACTAGTTGATTTACTGCAAGGGGGAGAGATTACTTATTGGTGAGATAAATTTTAAAATGGGTTTGTTATAGAAAAACATTTTCCTTATACATTTATAGAGATTATTTCCTTATTAAATAATCATTTTATACATTCTCAAGTCATATTCTCAAACTCGTTGAACAGTTTTGGTGGAGAATTGAGATACTATTTGAACAATAAATGGAAAATTTACTTCAATGCCTCCCAATACAGCAAGTCCCTGTTGTTCTATTGTGAAATTGAAAAACTCCTGCTGCCCTTCCAACTAAAAGGACACTTAATCGTAGAGAAAGCCTGGGTGCAGTGGCCGAAGCCTGTAGTCTCAGCACTTTGGGAGGCTGAATGGGAAGAAACACTTGAGGCCAGGAGTTTAAGACTAGCCCGGGAAATACAGTGAGATCTCATCTCTACAAAAAGTTTTAAAACTTAGCAAGGCATGGTGGCATGCACCTGTTATCCCAGCTATTTGGGATGCTGAGGTGGAGGATTGCTTGAGCCCAGGAGGTGGAGGCTGTAGTGAGCGGTAATCATGACTCTGCATTCCAACCTGGACAATAGGGTGAGAAGAGCAAGACCTGGAGGAAAGGAAAGGACAGGAGAGGAGGGGAGGGGAGGGGAGGGGAGGGGAGGGGAGGGGAGGAGAAGCCAGGGGAGGGGAGGAGAAGCCAGGAGAGAGGAGGGGAAGCCAGGAGAGAGAAGGGTCCTAAATCCTAGAGAAAGTCATGTACAAGAGAGCATATGCTTTCTGAGATGTTTACTCACTTGCAATAAATGAACAAGATTTACATTTTTTAAATAAATAAAAATTTAAATGCCTGTTCTTCAATATATATGAACAGTTTAGAATTGAGAGAAAAATAATTTGTGTTTTCTGAAAGTAATTTGCTTCAATAATTGATTTTTATAAGATTAAAGAAAAATACCTTCCCTGTTCAAATTTTATCGTTGAATTTCTTTTGCTCTCTTGGACATGCTGTTCTTTCCATTGGTCCTTCAATTGTACAGTCTGTAAAATATACAGACTGATACCTACACTGATTATTTCAGTAGAACTGTGATAAGATTTAGTTGAGATGGTATATTTAAGAGTCCTCCAGAAGAAGTAAAGACATCTATATAAAAAATAAAATGTTATTATAGAACTTTTAGCATTTTACTCTGCATATAGTTGGCATTAAATGAATATTTACACATTGGTGGTTAAAGCCTGTTAGCTAGCTATCAGGTGTCAGATTGTCTGTCTCTAAACCGTGTGCCACTTAACTTTCTGGATGTCATTGATCTCAGATGTACAACACACATACTGGTCAATGTTATTTCTAAGGCTCTTTTGGCTTCATTAGGCCATGATTCTATTCAATTCGTACATCTCAGCTTAATTCCCTATTTATCCTTCTGTGTCACGTAGGGATGCCATCTGCCGCAGGTAAAAGAAACCTAAGCCTCAGTGACTTAAACAAACAGGGCATTATCTTTCTGACATTATAAGAAATCTTGAAATTGGTGGTTGCTGGATCAAGAACAAAAAATACATTGTGCTGGTTTCCTTGACCTTTCACTTATTACCACATGTCAGCTGCTGCAATCCCAGCCATAACATCCATAATGAAGGCTGAAATAATTTTTCTTCCGTTGCATTTGTACCATCTTGTCAGAGAAAAAAAGGTATCTCAAAGACTTTAATCAGACTTCTGCGTGTATTTCCTCGGCCACCTTTCTGGCCATCTTTGGCCATTCATCTCTAGCTGCATTGGTCTAGGAAAGGACGCTTTGACTGGCTTCAGCTCTGAGCAAAATCAGGAGTCTGCTGGCAAGGAGGAAGCAGAGTTTGGTTATTGAGTGCCAACACTACTTGCCATATACTCATATATATTAGTTTGTCTTTTCATGTTGAATTATTTGTATATTGAATTATGCTTCATACTCACCACTTTTATCTATGTATGATTTTTCTCAAATGGCGCTTATTCTGTGGTGTCTCTTCCAACCACCAGTCACAGTGGAGTGATTGCTTAGCATGATTTGTATCACATGCCCACTGCCCAATTTCTATTGCAAGGGCCCTTCGGGTATGGGCAGAATTAGGGACAATTTTGCCTTTTGTTTTTTTGAGAGAGTCTCTCTCTGTTGCCCAGGATGAAATGCAGTGCACAGTCATGGCTCACTGCAACCCCCATCTCCCAGGATCAAGCAATCCTTCTGCCTCAGTCTCCCAAGTAGCTGGGACTACAGGCATGAGCCACCATACCGGGCTAATTTTTGTATTTTTAGTAGAGACGGGGTTTTACCATATTGGCCATGCTGGTCTCAAACTCCTGACCCTGTGATCTCCCTGCCTTGGCCTCTCAAAGTGCTGGGATTACAGATGTGAGCCACTGGGCCTGCCCTGCCTTTTTGGGTGTCAAAGAGCACAAACAAGAATAGATGCTTGACAAATATTTACTATCCGGTATGTACACATGCCTACCTATCTTTTACTGTTATTTTCTCTGGATTATTATTTACTCATAATTGGATAAAGTCTAGTGACTTGAGTGGCATTCTTAACTTTAAGGTTTATTAACTGTAGCTACCTTCACGATACTACCAGTAATCCTGATGATTTATGCAGTACCTGGGAAGTGATAATGTGACTGTCTTCTCTTGATATGTCTATACTATTCTATAGGATAGCCATTTATAATATTAACAAAAAGTGACGAAGTGTTTGGTGAAAAGTCTCAAACAAAAACACACAAACTTACAAGCAAACAGAATAACTAAGTACTTCAGAGCACAGCAACTTAATCATTTAAAGAGGCAGCACTTGGGTTGATTCCAGGTCTTTGCTATTGTAAACAGTGCTGCAATGAACATTCGTGTACATGTGTCCTTAAGGGGAGTACTAAACACTGGGGTCTATTGGGGGGAAAAGGGGAGGGCCAGTGGGAGGGGGAGGTGGGGAGGGATAGCCTGGGGAGAAATGCCAAATATGGGTGAAGGGGAGAAGAAAAGCAAAGCACACTGCCATGTGTGTACCTACGCAACTGTCTTGCATGCTCTGCTCATGTACCCCAAAACCTATAATCCAATAAAAAATTAAAAAAAAAAAAAAAAAAAGAAAAGAAGAAATTAAGCTGTCATTATTTGCAGACAGCATAATATGTCAATATAAGATCCAAAAAGTCTGCTCTTAAACTATTAAAATACAAATAAATTTGGGAAAAAAATAAAAATAAATAAAAAATAAAGAGGCAGCACTGCCCTCCTAAAAGTCTAAAGGCATTCAGCGAGGACCTAAATTGAAAACAGAAGTTAAGTGCATTGTTTGTTTACATACTTTATATCATTTCCCTGAGGCAATATGATATGAGGTAAGAGTGGGAGTTTTTAACCAGTGCTTAAGGATAATATTTTAAAAATTATAATCTCAGTCCATGTTTGGTTAGGGCAATAAAATTTACTACATGAAATGGATCTTAGTGTGACACCAAAAGTTGTACAACAAATGGTAAATTGGTCCTAGAGCAGTCATTCTTAGTAGGAACTATACAACAGTAAGACTAGATCAATGGTTGCTATCATTTTAAGTTATTTCGATAATTTATTTTGATGGTGTATTTCCCTCATTTTATTTTGAGAAACTTTTAGTAAAAAGATATTCTACCATGAATATATTGTGTTTCTTTTCAGAAATGTATTTTGTGATTATAAAAATTGCTTTGTCCACATAGGTTTTACTTGAATGCAAATAATCCACTCTTCAAAATATAAAGTTAATATAAGAAAATTCTAGAATGCAATGATCTTCTATAGGGGCTATTGTATATATAAGTTCTTTAAATCATTAAGTGCCAACATGGCACTGAAATTGAGCTTTAGAAGTTTTAGAAATTATTGATTTCCAAGGATGATCTTGGATCCAGAATTTGCATCCTGAATTTCTTCTCAAAAGAATTATTAGAGACTTCCTGTTGGAATTTTCACTATGATTTTAGCTTGCACTGTAATTATGAAAATGACTCAAAAGAAGTAATGCAGCATTTTGAATTTTCTATTAGACAAAATGAAAATAATATAGTGGAGGCAGATGGGGCGATCTCTGTAAAAACAGTAAATAGATGGCGAACGGTAAATTATAAGCTGAAATCAGTGTTCGATAACCAGGTCATAAGGCTTACAAAAACCATTTTATGCAGAGATATGGACAGAAATTAAAAAGATAACACAGTTATTAAAAGAGATCTCATCTAGTACAGTTTACAGGTGTATTCATTTAATAAGGAACTGTATATCCCTCTGTATTTCAGATATAGACAAAGGAATATACTTAAATATTTATTGTAGGCCATTGCCATAGAAGGTAAGGAAAAATACTGTCAAGCCAGAAAAGTATATTGTAGCTCGTGAAAATTATTTATTAAGAGTCTGAAAATATACAGGAAGCCATGATCTCTTCTTTCAGTTGCTTACACTCTGTGGGACAAAGCTGTACACACAGACCAGTTAGAAAACAAGTCAATGTTAGATACTGCTCACTGCAGTGCTGACAGTATACGCATTGCATCATGTTTTAAAAAGGGAATGTCTACATGGTGACATAGTTTTGCTTTGTTTTCTCCACAAATAGTCCAATGCCAAGTAAAGCTGTGAAAACACAAGCTGGAAATTTCATCATACTCTAGTGCCAAAATAATCTAAATCTTGTGTGTATGTGTGTGTTTCTTAACTTTGGTGCAAATTCAAACATATATGTAGAAAAACCACACTAGGCCATATCATCTGCTTCTGTAAAGTCTGGGAGGAAAAATCTTGATTTTTATTTATAATGAATTCATATTCTAACTTACTGAAATCTGTTTTACATAGTTTATAAAAAATTATCACAGACTTTTAAAAGAGAGTCGTTTTGTTTGTAGCTTGTCGACCAGGTTTCTACAAGGCGTTGGATGGTAACATGAAGTGTGCTAAGTGCCCCCCTCACAGTTCTACTCAGGAAGATGGTTCCATGAACTGCAGGTGTGAGAATAATTACTTCCGAGCAGACAAAGACCCTCCATCCATGGCTTGTACCCGTGAGTAGTTTTGCTGCAACCCATGCCTCCATGTTTGTTTCGTTTTGTTTCTTCTTCTTGTTACTGTGCTGTTTGTTTTTTGTTTTAAAGCATTTGGCCCATTTCCTTCTGTTGCCCATGTGCAAACTGAAAGCTTTCTCTGCTTCACTCTCCATGCCTGGCTCACCACAAATGCAACATGTATCACACAAAATAAATTATATTTTAAAGCACTTCCTGCAACACAACCCCCAGAAAGAGAGAACATTTTTCTGTGTCTTGTTTAGATCCTGCATTACATATGACAGGATAGGGGAGGTTACAGACAGGGATTTATGTTTTTACATTTCTATTCCCTCTTGCTGTATGCTGGTCATAGGTCATAGGGAAAAGGACTAAGATTTATAAAACTAATACTAAAGTTTTCATAACTATTCACAAGGGTTTTAAACATAGTGGTGAGTTATTCTGTTAGACTTTGTAAGTGTATTCTTACCCTTGAGTCAAAACTCCCCCATTTGCAGCCTGGGGAAGACAGTGTCCTTGAATCCATGTGTCTGTAATCTCACGGATCCTCTAAGGATGAACTGAAAGTAGATAATAAAGAAAGGAGAGTTATTTACCTCCTTCAGTTCTGTTGTAAATTATCTATTTCCCTTGCAGTAGAAAACAGAAGTGAGGCTCATTAATCTTTGTTGAACTACTTTGCAGGACCTCCATCTTCACCAAGAAATGTTATCTCTAATATAAACGAGACCTCAGTTATCCTGGACTGGAGCTGGCCCCTGGACACAGGAGGCCGAAAAGATGTTACCTTCAACATCATATGTAAAAAATGTGGGTGGAATATAAAACAGTGTGAGCCATGCAGCCCAAATGTCCGCTTCCTCCCTCGACAGTTCGGACTCACCAACACCACGGTGACAGTGACAGACCTCCTGGCACATACTAACTACACCTTTGAGATTGATGCCATGAATGGGGTGTCAGAGCTGAGCTCCCCACCAAGACAGTTTGCTGCCGTCAGCATCACAACCAATCAGGCTGGTGAGTACGTGCTGGGTGCTCCTTACCCCTGTCATATCAAGTGCAAGCAACGGTCTTGACAGACTGGAAAACTGGGTGGAAGAAAAAAAATGATTTGAAAGAGCCCCAGAATTTTGTCTTCTAATGCATTTAAACAGTTATAGTATGTTAAATAATTCAATTCTTCAGGCGAGAATAAACCAGAGTTGTTAGGTGATTTTTAAACTAGTTCTTATCATTGTTTCCCATTTGAGATCATCAAATATTTGAGGCTCTCAGATAGTAGTAGGGAGAATCCTTGAGGGGAATATTTTTGTATTTCAAAGAACTTAGGCCCTGAATCTTAGCTTTAAAAAGAGTTATGCAGGATATGTAAAACTGTAAACAGGTTAGTTAAAATTAGATATTTTGAATATAATTATTTTGTTATTTTATACTTCTAAGAAGCTCTGTGTTTTATAACTCTAATAGTTATAAATCTTACCTTAGTTTATAATAAGAAAATAACTGATTTTATTTAACAGATATAGCTTTATGTTAAAAAATTAAAAATACTAAATTTAGAAAGAAGCATAGTAAAAAGAGCTCTTAGTAAAGAACAACTAGAATCATCAATTTAAATAATGTCCTGAAATGAACTGATAGGTGATTTCATCAACTATATTTTACAATGACAATCTTTCCCAATTAAACAAAAAAAAACTATATTTGAAGAGTGTAGGCAAAGGCCCTTTAATATGAAATGGAAAAATTAAAAAAGCATACAAACATCTCATTTTTCTTTATCTTATATCTACAACTTGTCTCTGCCTTGTTTAACTGTTAGTAAATCGTGTTTTTTTAATCAGCCTTTAAATGATCTATGTAGATTACTTAGGGATTTTACTTGCAGAATTTTAATTGTGAATCTCTCTAATGTACAGATGGATTATATATTACATAGAAGTAATTCCCCTTTGACATACAACAAGCGTTTTTCAACATTGATAACTGATCAATGAGTAATAAACAGATTTCTGTAATCAAAATGTCTTATACAAAGTTAAACTGATTGATAGGTATTTGTTGTGCTTAATTATTGCTACAAGATGTAATAATTAGGTATGCATTCCAAAAAGTTCAATCCAGAGATATCATTGTCTTATTTTTACACAAACACAAAAGCATTGGAGCCAAAAGGAGGGGAAGAGTCAGACATGATGCTATTCTGAGAATGCTTTAAGTACAGATTCTCTAGAGAATTACGGATCCTCCAGACCTCTCCCAGGTGGAGTCACCTCTAAGCTGGTTGTCAAGACTGAGTATAAACTCAGCTTCTGATCTTCATTTGGCTCACATTATGGAAGTTCCTCTGGTCTCTGGTCTTTGCTCTGAGAATATCAGAATGTGTCCTGGATGCTACTGGCAAAAGGAAACCAGAGATGACTCAATTCTCCCATCACCTAGTTCTTCTAGTAACCAAATAATAAGCCCCAAAACTCACCACATTTGGTTTCTATCACTTGGCTTACTCAGAAATGTTAGTTCAACTAGCAAGGAACACACAATAAATGTTATCTACAAAAGCAACTATGCACAGTTATGACTCTGCTGGTTGTTAACATTTTAATCTATTTATCTGCTGGTTAAATGTAGTTCTATGTATTCCTGCAGGTTATTATATAAATGCATCTCTACTGGTTAATTTCTCAAATACACAGAGTAGCCCCCTAAGCTCAGTGTCTCAAGTTTATCTCCAATCTCCTCATCATTCAGCAACCAAACAATAACTCTTTGCTTAAGAGGTGGATCCAGAGCCTTGTGCTAACACCCTTCCTTCTTAAGGGTCCCCTGTCTTCACCATACCAATGGAGAGATATTTCAAATATTAGCCATAGCAGAGTCCATCCATGTTCAAATATGTATCTTTCTGACTCCAATTTCTCTTTCGTTTCCCCTTTGCCTCTGGTCTCATACATTGACAAAAATCTCATATTTTTACATTCCTCATGATGATGAGTAAACTTAATTTGTGGAAAACACATAAATTTTAAATGAAGTGCACTAAATCGTTATTTTAATCTTGCTTACTGAATCTGTAATTTCTCCCACTTGAAGCTAGACGCCCAGACCAACCAGCATATGCTTTTGCTTTGCTGTAGTTAATGATATTTATACTTTGCAACTAATGATATTTAAAAGTTTGTAACTTAGGTTTATTTAACTGTCTTCTCTGGTGGAAAAGAGTACTGCAATACTGTTGCTATGTACTGCATGATTATGGCTTCTTCTCATCTCAGTGAACACGGGAAGTTTAAGAAATTATAATCATGTGGCAAATGGCTTTTCCGAGTCCTATATTTTAAGCTGATTTACTACCTTCTTTCAAAATTGAAGCATCAATCTGTGTTATAATTATCTCTCAAGTCAAACAGAATTGTATAAAAACAAGCAAGCGCTCCTTATTTCCTATCTTATCATTCCCCTCTGGCTCTCCGACAATGCATTTATCAGGCAACTAATAGTTCCAAATATATACAGCGAATGAATCTAGGTAAAGTGGCAACCAAGACCAGGCCAAGACATAAAAAAAATAAATGAGGCTGATTCTTTGGCCCTCCCAGTTACAAATCACAGCTTAAGACAGATTCAGCACGCGTGATATAAGGTACTTGTCCTAGTCTTTCTCCCATTAAAAAAAAAATCACAGATGTGTTTATAATATGCACCACCAGGCATTTTATATATTTACTTCAGGATGTCTGTATCATTTTGTGTGCCTGGGGAGGTAGAAGCCTTCGTTCCATCTTCAAATCTCCAGGGTAAGATATATAAGCCTGATTAGAAGCAATGCCATTTCTAAGGGGAGTGTTTCTTGGTTTTGCTTTATTTTTGTTCTTGTGAAGTTTAATGGACCGGTAGCCTTGAAAAATGAGCTCTCTACCACTGGAAGAATATGGCTGTGACAGATACGATGCTGTGGGGTTTAAATTCCTCCTAGCCTCTCTATCTTTGACGTGGATATAAAGGGGAAACATGTCCCGTTTAATTTGGTTTGTGAGATTGAGTTTGTTGATTCTTCTCTTGATTACATTGTAAAAGCCTTGTGATGATCAAATGATAAGGCACCTTCTAAATTGTAGAAGATTATGTTGTAAATTCGGATATTAGTCCTCAGCTCTCAATACTTTCACAAAGTATTTCGCTGAGATAAGAAGCTGGGCCTCCATATACAGATTGTATCTGTGAGTCCATCAGTCAAACAAGTAAAGAAAGAACTGCAGATTACAGACCAAAAATCTTTAAAGTTATAACATGACATAATTTGCTACCTTTTGTTTTCTTTCAGAAAATGAGTATATTTGTCTTTTCTGTTCTGGACAAAAACAATCATTCCCCTAGTGGAATATGTGTATCTGTTCACTCTTAACTGACATGATAGAATCTGCCCTTTTTCACTATCCTATAGCAAATAATGATTCAGACTAGGATAAGGAGCACTAATGGGGAATTTATGTGGCCTTGGGGTTTTGAGGTCCACCTCTACTTTTATTTTACTACTTGGATGAATTGAGATCTGAGAAGCTTTTTCAACATTTTCAAGAGCTTCTGAGAAAACTGACATTTCCCTTCTTTTCCAGTTTCCCTATTGAAATCATCACATTTGTATAATTTCTATCATAAAATTGGATTTGTTCACATGAATGAAAATATCACAGAAATATACATTGTGCCTATAACAGAGATTTCTCCTAGATTAATAATTTATTACATGTACTTTATCATTCCCACCCATCTCTTTCTCTCTACGTAAATGTTACTTATTTCTAACCACTTGCAGATACTCTACCCCTTTCCTCCTTAACACTCCAATGAGAATTTCTTAAGAACAATAATGCTTTTTTTTTTTTTTAAATTTTTTATTGGATTATAGGTGTTGGGGTACTTGAGCAGAGCATGCAAGACAGTTGCGTAGGTACACACATGGCAGTGTGCTTTGCTTTTCTTCTCCCCTTCACCCACATTTGGCATTTCTCCCCAGGCTATCCCTCCCCACCTCCCCCTCCCACTGGCCCTCCCCTTTTCCCCCCAATAGACCCCAGTGTTTAGTACTCCCCTTTCTGTGTCCATGTGTTCTCATTTTTCATCACCCACCTATGAGTGAGAATATGCGGTGTTTCATTTTCTGTTCTTGTGTCAGTTTGCTGAGGATGACGTTCTCCAGATTCATCCATGTCCCTACAAACGACACGAACTCATCATTTCTGATTGCTGCATAATATTCCATGGTGTATATGTGCCACATTTTTCCAATCCAGTCTATTATCAATGGGCATTTGGGTTGATTCCAGGTCTTTGCTATTGTAAACAGTGCTGCAATGAACATTCGTGTACATGTGTCCTTATAGTAGAACGATTTATAGTCTTTTGGATATATACCCAGTAATGGGATTGCTGGGTCAAATGGAATTTCTATTTCTAAGGCCTTGAGGAATCGCCACACTGTCTTCCACAATGGTTGAACTAATTTACACTCCCACCAACAGTGTAAAAGTGTTCCTTTTTCTCCACATCCTCTCCAGCATCTGTTGTCTCCAGATTTTTTAATGATCGCCATTCTAACTGGCGTGAGATGGTATCTCAATGTGGTTTTGATTTGCATCTCTCTGATGACCAGTGATGATGAGCATTTTTTCATATGATTGTTGGCCTCATATATGTCTTCTTTCGTAAAGTATCTGTTCATATCCTTTGCCCACTTTTGAATGGGCTTGTTTGTTTTTTTCCTGTAAATCTGTTTGAGTTCTTTGTAACTTCTGGATATCAGCCCTCTGTCAGATGGGTAGACTGTGAAAATTTTTTCCCATTCTGTTGGTTGCCGATCCACTCTAGTGACTGTTTCTTTTGCCGTGCAGAAGCTGTGGAGTTTGATTAGGTCCCATTTGTGTATTTTGGCTTTTGTTGCCAATGCTTTTGGTGTTTTGAAGAACAATAATGCTTTTATATAGTCTCAATATGTTTATTAACATCGAGACATTAAC